GCCACCGCCCGCATGCGTCACCCATACCCATGTCGTCGCACTCGTCACACGTTTAGTGCCCCCATAGGGAGTTCCACCGAAGGCCCCAGTGCCACCTCCCGCATGCGTCACCCACACCCATTTCGTCACACCTGTGCCACGTTTCTTGCCCCCATAGGGAGCTCCACCGAAGACTCCAGTGCCACCGCCCGCATGCGTTACCCACACCCATGTCGGCATTCCCCTCACACGTTTCGTGGCCCATAGGGAGCTACAACGAAGGCCCCAGTGCCACCGCCCGCATTCGTCACTCACGCCCATTCCGGCACACCCCTCACGCGTTTCGTGGCCCCATAGGGAGTTCCACCGGAGACGCCAATGCCACCGCCCGCATGCGTCACCCACACCCATTTCGTCACACCCCTACACGTTTCGTGGCCCCATAGGGAGGTCCACCGACGGCTCATAAGGAGCTCCACCGAAGGCCCCAGTGCCACCGCCCGCATGCGTCCCCCACGCCCACTATGGCACCCTCCTCACACGTTTCGTGGCCCCACAGGGAGCTCCACTGAAGGCGCCAATGCCGCCGCCCGCATGCGTCACCCGCACCCTTTTCGTGACACCCCTCAACCGCTTCGTGGCCCCATGGGGAGCTCCAACAAAGGCCCCAGTGCCACCGCCCGCATGCGTCACCCACACCCAATTCGTCACACCCCTCACACGCTTCGTGGCCCCATAGGGAGCTCCACCGAACGAAGGCCCTAGTGCCACCGCCCGCATGCGTCACCCGCACCCACGTCGGCACACTCCTCACACGTTTCGTGCCCCCATAGGGAGTTCCACCGAAGGCCGCAGTGCCACCGCCCGCATGCGTCACCCACACCCATTTCGTCACATCCCTCACACGCTTCGTGGCCCCATAGGTAGCTCCACCGATGGCCCCAGTGCCACCGCCCGCATGCGTCACCCACACCCATGTCGTCACACCCCTTACACGTTTCGTGGCCCCACAGGGAGCTCCACCGAAGGCCCCAGTGCCACCGCCCGCTTGCGTCACCCTCGCCCACGCGTGTCGTGGCCCCAGAGGGGGTTTCACCGAAGGCACACCCGCATGCGTCACCCACACCCATTTCGTCACACCCCTCACACGTTTCGTGGCCCCATAGGGAGCTCCAACGAAGGCCCTGGTGCCACCGCCCGCATGCGTCACCCACGCACATTCAGGCACACCCCTCACGCGTGCCGTGGCCCCATAGTCGGGGGCCCGCGAACGGGGTGGTGACCACACCGTGCGGTGAGTCAGTGGTGATTCGGGGTCACTGCACGGTTTTGGGCCTCGAGGCCTTCTCCGAGGACGTCTCGGGCGACTGGGGCCTCCAGGGTCCCAAGATCGTGCGGTGACGGACCGTGCGGTGAGGTCTTGGGGGATTTCGAGGTCACCGCACGGTCTGTCACCGCATCGTTTCGGGACCCCAAACATAGGGACCTCCACCGACGGCCCAAATGGCTGCTTTCGCATGCGCCCACCGGACAATTTTTGGCACTCCTCTCACGTGGCCTTATAGGGAGCTCCTCCGAATGCGGTGCATACAACGACGGTATTAGCAACTGCATATGGTTGGGTCGTTCGCCAGGCTAATGAAGAGACGGTCCCTGTGTTCCTTCCTTCCTTCCTTCCTTCCTTCCTTCCTTCCTTCCTTCCTTTCTCCTCACCCTCCTCCCTCCTCCCATCCCTGCCTCTGCCCTGCGCATGTCGTCGTCGTCGTCGTCGTCGTCGTCGTCGTCATCATCATCATCATCATCATCATCATCATCATCATCATCGTCATCATCATCGTCATCATCATCGTCATCGTCATCGTCATCGTCATCATCATCATCATCATCATCATCATCATCATCATCATCATCATCATCATCATCATCATCATCGTCATCGTCATCGTCATCGTCATCGTCATCGTCATCGTCATCGTCATCGCCATGTCATCGTCATCATCATCGACGTCATGATCACCACCGTGATCGTCACCATTATCGCCACCAATTTCGCCACACCCCTTACACGTTTCGTGGCCCCACAGGGAGCTCTATCGAAGGCCTCAGTGGCAGTGTTCGCATGCGTCTTCCCCGCCCAGCACAGGATTTCGCGGCCCCATCGAGGGGGGCCACCTAAGGCCCGAGTTGCGGTGTTCGCATGCGTCTCCCCCACCAGCACAGCGTATCGCTAGCCCCATAGTTTGTTGGCTCCACCTACGGCCCCTGTGGCGGTGTTCGCATGCGTCTTCCCCACCCAGTACGGCGTTTCGCGGCCCCAGAGGGAACCCCACCTAAGGTCCCAGTGGCGGTGTTCGCATGCGTCTCCACCACCCAGGAAAGCGTATCGCTGGCCCCATAATTAGGGAGCTCCACCTACGGCCCCAGTGGCGGAGTTCGCATGCGTCTCCCCCGCCCAGGACAGCGCTTCGTGGCCCCACAGGGAGCTCCACCTAAGGTCCCAGTGGCGGTGTTCGCATGCGCCCCCCCCACCCAGGACAACGTTTCGCGGCCCCACATCGAGCTCCATCTAAGGCTCCTGTGGCGGTGTTCGCATGCGTCTATCCCACCCAGGACAGCGCTTCGTGGCCCCACAAAGAGCTCCACCTAAGGCCCCAGTGGCGGTGTTCGCATGCGTCTCCCCCACCCAGGTTAGGGACTCCACCTACGGCCCCAGTGGCGGTTTTCGCATGCGTCTCCCCCACCCAGTACGGCGTTCATCGAGCTCCACCTGAGGCCCCAGTGGCGGTGTCCGCATGCGTCTCCCCCACCCAGGACAGCGCTTCGTGGTCCTACAGGGAGCCCCACCTCAGGCCCCACTCGCGGTGTTCGCATGCATCTCCCACACCCAGGACAGCGTTTCGTGGTCCCGCATCGAGCTCCACCTAAGGTCCGAATGGCGGTGTTCACATGCGTCCCCCCCACCCAGGACAGCGTTTCGTGGCCCCACTAAGAGCTCCACCTAAGGCGTCGGCGACGTGTTCGCATGCGTCTCCCTCGCCCAGAACAGCGTTTTGTCGCCCCACAAGGAGCTCCACTGGAGGCCCCAATGGTGGTGTTCGCAGGTGTTTTCCCACCCAGGACAGCGTTTCGCGGCCCCACAGGGGGTTCCACCTGAGTGGAGCAACCTGCGGAGCTGCGGAGTCCTGCATGGCGTATGGCAAAGCAGGCACCGCCTCGTGGCCCACAGAGGGAGACACCCTCACACATTTCGCGCCCCCCCCATAAGTGACCCCACCGAATATCATACACGCGATCGCGGTAGCTACAGCTGAATATGGCTGGGTCCTTCGCCAGGCTAATTTCAAAAGGCCGGGGGACTTCCGAGCCTTTTGAGAAGGCTCGCCACTTCTTCCCCCCCGGGCTCGTCGCCAATTGTTGCAGCGTGTGACAGTTCGAACTGAAGTTTTTGTAAATGCGGGCCGCAGCGCTTTCGGCGGCACTCGCCGCCTGCCCTTGGCCCTTGGTTTTGTTCTGCTCTGGGCTCTATTGCATGGACCTCGTGGGCGCTTCAGGGTCAGGCTCGCCGTGGTCGCCAGCATCCTGGGTGCTTCTGGCCACTGCCCCTCTGGCTTCTATAAGATCCCTGTATCTATCGGCTTGAACTTGCTCGAGCCAGCTTCGGGGCTGATGTGGGGTCATTTCAGAGGTAATCTTCTCGCGCTCGCGCTGTGCAATTCGTGTGTGTGTGTGTGTGTTTGTGTGTGTGTGTGTGTGTGTGTGTGTGTGTGTATGCGTGCCCGCGCCTGCCGATCAGGTTTCATCTGCTTGGCAATTTAGACGGCTCTGGGAATGCCAGAGTGAATCATGTAGAAACTGTTGGCCTTTAGGAAACCAAGCCCATCGTCGCGTCATACGTGTGCGTAGAACGAGATGACGTGCCGAGGTGTTTCGGTTGTCGGGGGTCCCTATTCACCCCCTCCGTGTCAACGACCAGATGTGCTCACGCCTCGTTTGTCTTTTTAGTCGTCCGCCCGCGTGCCACTCTTTACCCGCGTGCCACCCTTCCTCGTTTGTCTTCTTAGTCGTTGCAGCCTTTATGCTTTCGTGCAGTGCGATGTAGGTATACTTGTACACGTCTTGCAGCTGCGCACATATACAATGTATATGTGTGTAACGTGTGTGTATATATTTTATGCGAGACTGCATTGGCCCTTCGCGCCGTGCACCTTGTTTCGCAGCCTTCCTTTCATAACACATTCCACATCCTTCCTCTCGCGTCTGCTCCGTTCACCCCCTGTTCAACGCGCGCGCGTGTCGCGCAGGCGGGGGGGGGGGCGGGCGAGCGAGTCAGCAGTGGGAAAGCGGGGAGGGGGGTCTTTTGCTGTGTCAGCCCCAGCAAGCGCACGGCGCGAATTCAGACCCCTCCCGCCGCAGCGGCGGCGTCGACCTCGTGCTCGTCGTTGTCCGCGGCCGCAATTTCGCCGTCGCTTCCCCCGTCTCCGTCCTCCTCCGGCGCGGCGCCTCCGAGCCATCCGTCCTCATCCGGTGCATCGCCGTCATTGCAAAGCTGCCGTCCGAGATCATAATGATGGCCATGGCTTTATGGATACAGTTTTTTCCCTCAATCCTCATCCTTCTCCTCGTTGTCGTCTTCTTTCCTCCCTATGGGGGGACTAAGTTTGCCACTGGTCGTGTGTGCAACGTTCCCGCTTTGCACATGTTTGTCCATCCAGATCCCCGTCTTGCTCGGCTGCCATGGCTGGGATGTACACCTTCGAAATTTATGGGGCATCCAGCAACGGGGCCACGCGGAGCACCCTCATCTGGCTTCTTCTTGCTCCTGCTCCCAAGCTCGCTGTCACTCCTAACCCTGCCTGCATTCCTGCCCATGCTCCTAGATCCAGTGCCGATGCCGCGCGCGCTTCCGTTACGGTCAGTGCTGCTCCGGTTCCCGCTCCCATTCTTGTGCGTACGCGCCTGCGCCTCTTCTGCGCCTGCTCCACCATCGAAGCCCTCGTCCTGCTGCGTTGTGTCTCTGGCAGATCCAGCGGCCGAGCACGCTCGCGCACGTGACCCTGCCGCCGGCAGCCGCTTCGATGCAGCGATCGCCCAAGGCGCGCCTGGGGCTTGGGGATGGGTGAGGGGCCACGGGAGGCTGGGCGAGCCTTCCTGATCTGCCTCGTGTGGTGCGCCCCAGACGGGACCTCGTTTTAGACGACTCGAGGGCTTGACCCCTCTCCCTCTGCGGCAGCTGGCGGAATGCCCGCGGAAGCCGGGGGAGGAACCGGGGGCGGCTCTGCTGGAGGACGCCCAGCGGAAGTTGGCAGAAGGAAGTGCATGACGAGGAGGAGGAGGAGAAGGAGGAGGTGAGCAAGAAGAAGGATGAGAGATCACGATGAGATGATGCTGATGATGATGATGATGGTGATGCTGATGGTGATGATGATGGTGATGCTGCTGCTGCTCATGATGATGATGCTGATGATGCTGCTGATGATGATTCTGATGATGATCATTGTGATGATCATGCTGATGATGATGCTGATGATGGTGCTGATGATATTAATATTGACGACGATAATGATGCTGATGATGATGGTGATGATGATGCTGCTGATAATGATGACGATGGTGAGATGATGGTGATGATAATGATGGTGTTGGTGGTGATGGTGATGATCATGATGGTGCTGTTCATGATACTGGTGGTGATGATGATGACGACGATGGTGGCGACGATGATGCTGATGATGGTGATGATGATGATGATGATAATGATGATGATGATGATGATGATGATGATGATGATGATGCTGATTCGTATGATGATTCTTATGGTGATGACGATGCTGCTGCTGATGAAGATGATGGTCATGATGGCGACGACGATTTTGATGCTGACGATGATGCTGATGATGCTGATGATGATTATGATGATGATGATGATGGTGATGATCATGCTGATGATGCTGCTGCTGATGATGATGATGATGATGACTAGCATGATGATGACGATGATGATGATGATTCTGTTGATGATGAAGATGAGGAGGAGCAGGACGAGGAAGAGAGAAACTGAGTGAGGAGGAGGAGGCGGAAGAGGAGGAGAAGGATGGTGATGATGAGGATGACAACGAGGATGAGGATGGGGATGAGGATGGGGATGAGGATGAGGATGATGATGACGATGGTGATGATGATGATGATGATGATGATGATGATGATGATGATGATGATTGATGATGATGATGATGATGATGATGATGATGATGATGATGATGATGATGCTGATGATGATGATGATGATGCTGCTGATGATTATGAAGATGATTATGCTGATTCTGATGTTGATGCTGATAACGATGATGATGCTGCTGATGATGATGATGATGTTGATAATGCTGTTGCTGATGCTAATGATGATGGTGCTGCTTATGATGATGCTGATGACGATGCTGATGATGATGATGATGATGATGATGATGATGATGATTATGATAAGGATGCTGATGATGATGACGATGACGTTGATGATGATGCTGATGCTGATGATGATGATGATGATGATGATGCTGATGCTGATGCTGATGCTTCTGCCGATGATGCTGATAATACTGATGATGATTATGATGATGATGATGATGCTGATGATGCTGATGATGATGATGACGATGATGATGATGGTGATGGTGATGGTGATGGTGATGATGATGCTGATGATGATGATTATGATGATGATGATGATGATGATGCTGCTGATGATGATGATGATGATGATGATGATGATGATGATGATGATGATGATGATGATGATGATGATGATGATGATGATGATGATGATGATGATGATGTGATGATGATGATGATGATGATGATGATGATGATGATGATGATGATGATGATGATGATGATGATGATGATGATGATGATGATGATGATGATGATGATGATGATGATGATGATGATGATGATGATGATGATGATGATGATGATGATGATGATGATGATGATGATGATGATGATGATGATGATGATGATGATGAGGCGGAGGAGGAGGAGGAGGAGGAGGAGGAGGAGATGGAGATGGAGGAGCAGGAGGAGGAGAAGGAGGAGGAGGTGGAGGAGGAGGAGAAGGAGGAGAAGGAGGAGGAGAAGGAGGAGGAGGAGGAGGAGGAGGAGAGAGGAGAGAGGTATGCCAGGTGCGCTCGCGCCATATCTGACATCCTTTCCACCTCTTCCATCCCGTCGGTCCTGGATTCTCGGAGTGAGAGCTCGGGCTTAGCATAATGTGAGGTTTTAAGCGGCTGGGACTGGGGGTGGCTGCCAGTCTTCCTTCTCCCTCTCCTCTGTCTCTCTGTGGCCCGCTGGGGCTCAAGTTTTTCTCGGGGCCTTCAAGGCCCCAGGCACCCTGCGGGCCCCTGGGCGGCTCTCTGGGAGCCACACAGCTGGGCGCCGCGACAGCGCAGAGCCGGGGACGCTGGCCCAGCCTTGGGTGGGCGGCGCTGCTGCCGCGCGGGCGCAGAGCTGGAGCGTGGCGCGGACTCAGAGGGCTCCCCGGCCGCGGTCGTGCCCATGATCGTTGGGTTGGTGACGGCCACGAGCCTCAGTCGTTGGGTCCTTCCAGCACGTCCACCTTGCCTTCGTGGGCACCTGTACCAGCGGTCTCTTTCCTGGCTGGGAGCCCTCACTTTGGCGTCAACTCTGGTCAGGGAGGTGAAGATCCGTCGGAGGAGCGGTCGCATGTGTGGGGGAAATCGCATTCGGCGGGTACTGGCCGTACGTGTCGTGGGCATCACTTGCAGTGCCGTCGTTGCTGGTCGTGGTCTTGATGGGCTACGGGCTTAACACCACCGCCAGCGCCAGCGACCTGGACATGTTGATTGGCAGGCCTCTACTGTTTGTGTTGTCTCCTGTGAGGTGGGCGGTCGGGTATTGCCCCAGGCCGCAGCCGCTGGGGGCTGGAGGAGAGGTAGGCGCTGAGGGATTGGTTCTAGAGTTGTGGGGTCAAGGGACGTCCCTGGGGCGAGCTAGGGCGCGCTGGACAGGGCGGCGGAGGAGGAGGAGGATGCGGAGTGGTAGGGCAAAACGCTGTGCTGGCCGCGCTACAGGGACATGGTGGTGTACTCTCCCACGCGCGATGGTGTGTGCGTGGTGAAGTTGGGTGACTGTCTGATAATAGGGGGCCCCATCCAGCGTGGGCGCCTCCGTGCAGGCCTTCGCGGAGCCTGCGGGCGATAGGGCACGGCGCATTGAAAGTGTTGCAGACTTCAGCCTTCAGGATCGTAAGCTGTGACCCGTCCTGCCCAAACGTCTGGGGTCGCGACGGGAAGGAGCTACTTATCATCAAAGAGGGTGTCGGGGGAGGAGGGGGGTGGAGGAGGAGGAGGAGGAGGAGGAGGCGGAGTAGGAGGGGGAGGAGAAGGAGGAGGAGGCGGAGGCGGAGGAGGAGGAGGAGGCGGAGGCGGAGGCGGAGGCGGAGGCGGAGGCAGAGGAGGCGGAGGAGGAGGAGGACGAGGATGAGGAGGAGGAGGAGGAGGAGGAGGGGGAGGATTGGGACGAGGAGGAGGAGGCGGAGGCGGAAGAAGTGGAGGAGGAGGAGGAGAAGGAGGACGAGGAGGAAGAGGAGAAGGAGGAAGAGGAGACGGAGGATGATGACGAGGAGGAGGCGGAGGAAGAGGAGGAGGGGGAGGAGGAGGGAGGAGGAGAGGAGGAGGAGGAGGCGGAGGCGGAGGCGAAGGAGGAGGCGGAGGCGGAGGCGGAGGGAGGTGAGGCGGAGGCGGAGGAGGAGAAGAGGGAGGGAGGGAGGAGGAGGAGGCGGAGGAGGAGGAGGAGGAGGAGGTGGATGGGGAGGAGGAGGAGGAGGAGGAGGAGGAGGAGGAGGAGGAGGAGGAGGAGGAGGAGGAGGAGGAGGAGGAGGAGGAGGAGGAGGAGGAGGAGGAGGAGGAGGAGGGGGAGGAGAGGAGGAGGAGGAGGAGGAGGAGGAGGAGGAGGAGGGAGGGAAAAGGAGGAGGAGGAGGAGGAGGAGGAGGAGGAGGAGGAGGAGGAGGATGAGGATGACGAGGAGGAAGAGGAGGAGGAGGCGGCAGAGGCGGAGCGGAGGCGGAGGCGGAGGCGGAGGAGGAGGAGGAGGAGGAGGAGGAGGAGGAGGAGGAGGAAGGAGAGGAGGATGAGGATGAGGATGAGGATGAGGAGGAGGAGGAGGAGGAGGAGGAGGAGGAGGAGGAGGAGGAGGAGGAGGAGGAGGAGGAGCAGCAGCGATGAGGGAGGAGCTGCCACGCTACTCCCCCCCCGCCTGGCTTGACTCCTCAGGTCAACGCTGCGCCACATCGCTCGCCACGGCAGGCGCAGGGGTTCAAGTCGCAGACCGTCGACCGGGACTCTTGCCGCCCGCGGCAGGGGGGACACAGTCGAGGCGCATCTCGAACAACAAAACGAGACAACCCCACCTAAGGCTTTCGATGCTTCGCTACGGCCAATCGGTGGCTGTTGCGTATACCATGCAACAACCCACGCCAGATTTGCTGGTAGACGCTACGCCCCGTGGGTCCTCAGGTGAGGTGGTTTTCTGGTCCAGCATCAGGAGGGTCAGAGATTTTCCCAGGGTGCCCGCCCCGAGCTGCTCAATGAGCGTGGGGGGGTGGACCGTGTGGGGTGTAGGATTGGCTAGTCCAGCGCTGGGCGCGGGAAGGTGCGGTCGGGAACTTTGATTCAGTCTCGGGAGGAGGATGATAATTAGTAAAGAGGAGGAGGAGGAGGAGGAGGAGGAGGAGGAGGAGGAGGAGGAGGAGGAGGAGGAGGAGGAGGAGGAGGAGGAGGAGGAGGAAAAGGAAAAGGATGAGGAGGAGGAGGAGGAGGAGGAGGAGGAGGAGGAGGAGGAGGAGGAGGAGAGAAGGAGAAGGAAAAGGAGGAGGAGGAGGAGGAGAAGGAGGAGGAGGAGGACGAGGAGGAAGAGGAGGAGGAGACGGCAGAGGCGGAGGAGGAGGAGGAGGAGGAGGAGGAGGAGGGGGAGGAGGGGGAGGAGGAGGAGGATGAGGAAGAGGAGCGGGAGGAAGTGATGCTCCAAGGGTGCGGTCGGGAACTTTTGGTTAGCGTGTCGCTCCGCTGGTTCTGGCTCAGCACGCTTCGGCGCGACACGCTGACCACTTGTCAGTCCCAAAGGCGTCAGCGGCCCGAGCCTTTTCCCGCCCCCCCCGACCCGAGGAGCGGAGCGACACGCTATGTAGCGTGTCGCTGGGGCCGCCGCCGCGACACGCTCAGTAAGAGTTCCCACCCTTGCCCCGAGCTGCTCCACAGGCGTGGAGGGGTGGATCGCGTGGGGGTGTCGAAAGGGCCAGTCCAGAGCTGGCCGTGGGAGGGTTGGATCGCGTGAGGGGGTGGGTTCGGCGCGCGTCGGGGGGCTGACATGCCTCTGTGCTGTGCGGCACCTCTGATAGGCAAGAGCCCTCCCCAAGTTGAGTGAAAAAGAATCATTGGTGCTAGGCGTGCCCCACCTGCTGTGCGGCACCTTCTGCTAGACAAGACCCCTCCCCAATTTGATAAAACATAATCCTAAGAGGGCCCGAAACGGAGGCTTCAAAACAGCTTCCAAGAGCCCGACGAGAAACCTCCCAAGAGACCCCCAAAGAACATCCAGGAGACCTTGGACCCGCAACCCAGCCCCATCGGGCGGCGGCGGCCGGCGGCGGTGGGGGCGGCCGACGAGAAACAGGTTTCTCGTTGGGCTCTTGGATGCTGTTTTGAAGCCTCCTGGGGGCCGTTTTGGGGCCTCTTAGGGCCTCGTTTGGTTTTTTTGGGGGGCCTCATGGGGCCTCCTGGGTGTTTCTCGATGCCTCCCGGGACCTTCTTGAGGCGGAATGCCCCAGGAGCCCGCAGGATGGATCCGTTGGAAGCGTGTCACCGGTGCGGCGCGGTCCGGGTGGCTTCACAATCCTTTGTGTTTAACGTATGTGCCCATAGATTGGTCCTCTCCTGGGGCTTCCTGGGGCCTCCTGGGGCTTCCTGGGGCCTCCTCGAGCTTCCTGCGGCTTTCTGGGGCTTGGCCCTCTCCTGGGGCGCGAATCCTTCTGTTAAACGTATGTGCCAATATATTGGCTTTCTCTTAGGGCACGAGCCCATTGTTTTTCACGTATGTGCCTATATATTGGCCTACTCTTTGGGCACGAATGTTTAGTGTTTTAGGTGCGTGTTTATCTATTGGCCGTATCATGGAGCGCTAATCCTTAGCGTTGTACGTGATGCCTAGAGATTTGCCTTCTTTTGGGGCACGAGTCCTTGTTTTTTACACATGTGCGTATAGGTTGGCCCCCTCCTGGGGCACGAGTCCTTTTTGTGTTTCGCGTGTATACCTATAGATTGGCCCTTTCCAGGGGCTTATAGATTTGCCCTCCCTTGGGGCACGAGCCCTGCGTGTTTTACGTATGCGCCTATGGATTTGCCCTCTCTTGGGGCACGAACCCTTCGTGCTTTACGTATGTGCCTATATATTCGCTCTCTCTCTCTCTCTCTCTCTCTCTCTCTCTCCTGCAGCACGAATCTTTAGTGTCTTACGTGTGTGCATATAGATTGGCCGTCCCCTGGGGCACGAATCTTTTCTGTATTTACATTATGTGCCAATACATCGGCCTTCTCTTGGAACACGAATCCTCTTAGTATTTTATGTCTGTCCCTATAAATAATCGATAGGAGAGGGTCAATCTGATTGACCCTCTCCTAGGGCGCGAATCTTTCGTGCTTCACGTGCGTGCGTGCTGATAGGGTGGCCGTATCATGGGGGACGAGTCCTTAGCGTGATTGGCACTCTCCTGGGGCACGGTCTATTTCCAGGGGCACGAATCTTTCGCGTTTTACGCGTTTGCACATAGATATGACTTCCCCTGGGGCACGAACCCTGCGAGGCGTCACGAGCTTCACCGGGCGTCAGGGGAATAGAGGCTCCAGGCCGAATAGAGGCTTCACGAGCTTCACCGGGCGTCAGGGGAATAGAGGCTCCAGGCCGAATGGAGGCTTCACGAGTTTTACTGGGCGCCAGGGGAATAGAGGCTTCAGGCCGAATAGAGGCTTCACGAGCTTAACGGGCGTCAAGGGAATAGAGGTTTCAGGCCGAATAGAGGCTTCACGAGCTTCACCGGGCGTCAGGGGAATAGAGGCTTCAGGCCGAATAGAGGCTTCACGAGCTTCACCGGGCGTCAGGGGGATAGAGGCTTCAGGCCGAATAGAGGCTTCACGATCTTCAATGGGCGTCAGGGGAATAGAGACTTCAGGCCGATTCGAGGCTTCACGGGCTTCAATGGGCGTCAGGGGAATAGAGGCTTTAGGCCGAATAGAGGCTTCACGAGCTTCAGTGGGCGTCAGGGGAATAGAGGCTTCAGGCCGAATAGAGGCTTCACGAGCTTCACCGGGCGCCAGGGGAAGAGAGGCTTCAGGCCGAATAGAGGTTTCACGAGCTTCACCGGGCGTCAGGGGAATAGAGGGTCCAGGCCGAATAGAGGCTTCACGAGCTTCAGTGGGCGTCAGGGAAATAGAGGCTTCAGGTCGAATCGGCGCGTCTAGGGTCGCCACCCCACCAGCGCGTCGCAATTCGTAGGCCGAACAAAGGCGTCACGAGCCGAATACAAGCTGCAGGCCGAAAGGAGGCTTCAGGCCGAATAGAGGCTTCACAAGCTTCAATGGGCGTCAACGGAATAGAGGCTTCAGCCCGAATAGAGGCGTCACGAGCTTCACCAGGCGTCAGCGGAATAGAGGCGTCACCGCAGCTCCTTAGGGGAATGGCATCTTCAAATCGCGTCTTCGGCGCCGGCTCGAACGTGAACCCCCCGGGCCAGGCCCTTGTATATATATATATATATATGTATATATATGGATGTATGTATGTGTGTGTATGTCACGAATGCTATATCGCCAGAGCAGTCCCTCTGCCTAGCCGCCGACGCAAAAAGTGTGCGTGTGTGGCTGCCTCCCTCCCCCCAGCTGCTGCCTTGTCGCCGCTGCTGGCCCCCGGCCCCAGCGCCTGCCCCGCCGCCGCCAGGCCCTGGTCTGAGCGGGCCCGGCTTCCGTCTCCTTCCCGCCCGCGCCGGGCTCCTTTTTTTCCCAGCCTTCCTGTGGTGTTGGGTTCTCGTTTTGATGAGACAGCGCCCCGCGTTCTCCTCCTCCTCTCCTCTCGTCCTCCTCCTTCCCCTTCCTCCTCCGATCCTTGCCTGTGCCCTCCGAACCCGTCAACCATTTTGGCACACCCCTCACACGTTTCGTGGCCCCATAAGGGAGCCCCACCGAAGGCCCAAGTGTCAGCGTTCGCATGCGGCCACCTCACCCTTTTTGGCACACCCCTCACACGTTTCGTGTCCCCACTGGGAGCCCCACCTAAGATCCAAATGCAAGCGTTCGCATGCGGCCACCGCACCCATGTTGGCACACCCCTCACGCGTTTCGTGGCTCCATAGGGAGCCCCACCGGAGGCCCAAATGCCAGCGTTCGCGTGCGGCCACCGCACCCATTTCGGCACACCCCTCACACGTTTGGTAGCCCCACAAGGAGCCCCACCGAAGGCCCATATGTCAGCGTTTGCGCGCGGCCACCGAGCCAATTTTGGCACACCCCTCGCACGTTTCGTGGCCCCACAGGGAACCCCACCGAAGGCCCAAATGCCAGCGGTTGCACGCGGCCACCGCGCCCATTTTGGCACACCCCTCACACGTTTCGTGGCTCCATAGGAAGCCCCACCGGAAGCCCACGTGCCAGCGTTCGCATGCGGCCACCGCGCCCATGTCGGCACACCCCTCACACGTTCAGTGGCTCCACAAGGGGGAGCCCCGCCGAAAATCCAGATACCAACGATCGCATGCGGCCACCGCACCAATTTAGAGACACCCGTCGCACGTTTCGTGGCCCCACAGGGAACCCCACCGAAGGCCCAAACGCCAGCGTTCGTATGCGGCCACCGCACCCATGTTGGCACACCCCTCACACGTTTCGTGGCCCCACAGGGAACCCCACCGAAGGCCCATATGCCAGCGTGCGTACGCGGCCACCGAGCCAATTTTGGCACACCCGTCACACGTGTCGCGGCTCCATAAGGGGACCCCGCCGAAGGCCCAAGTGTCAGCGTTCGCATGCGGCCACCGCGCCCATTTTGGTACAACCCTCACACGTGTCGCGGCTCCATAGGGAATTTCACCGAAGGCCCAAATGCCAGCGCTCGCATGCGGCAGCCGCGCCTATTGTGACACACCCCTCAAACGTTATTTGGCCCCTCAGGGAGCCCCACCGAAGGCCCATATGCCAGCGTTCGCATGCGGCCACCGCACCCATTTTGACACACCCCTCACACGTTTGGTAGCCCCATAGGGAGCTCCTTCAAATGCGGTGTATACAACGACGGTGTTCACAGCTGCATATGGTTGGGTCTTTCGCCACGCTAATTTTTCCACGTGCACCGCGGCAGGATTTGCGTTTTGTGTCGCGCGAATGCTACATCGCCAGAGCAGTCACTCTGCCTAACCGCCGACGCCAGATACACACATATACATATATGTATATATATGCATATGTGTGTATATATATGTACATGTATGCATGCATGTATGTACGTCTGCATGTCTGTATGTATGTCTGTTTATGTAAATGTAAATGTATATGTATATGTATATGTATATGTATAGGCATATGTATAGGCATATGTATGCGTATGCGTATGTGTATGTGTATGTGTATGTGTATGTGTACGTGTTTATGTTTATGTATATGTACATGTATGTGTATTTGTGTATGTGTATGTGTATGTATATGTATATGTATACATATATGTGTATGTGTATGTATATGTATAAGTATATGTATATGTATATGTATATGTATATGTATATGTAGGTACACCTGTAAATATATATATGTATATGTATATGCATATGTATATGTATATGTATGTATAGGTATATGTATATGTATCTGTATGTGTACGTGCATGTGTTTATGTATATGCATTTGTATATGTAAATGTATATGTAAGTGTATATGTATATGTATACGTATAGGTATATGTATTAATATATGTATATGTATAGGTATAGGTATATGTATATGTATAGGTATATGTATATGTATATGTATATGTATATGTATATGTAAACGCATACGAATACGACTATGCATATGTATATGTATAGATATATGTCTATGTATATGTATATGTATATGTATATATATATATATGTATATGTATATGTATATGTGTATATATATAGATATATGTGTGTTGGCGGGGTTGCACCAATCGAAACGGGTCACGACCTTTCTCCCCCGTGTCGCCGTACTTCATCGGTTTCTTCTTTTTCCTGCTCGTCCTCTACCTCGTTTTCTCATTTCTCGTTCTGGCGTCTGCTCTCGCAGCCAAGCATCGCGGGCACTTTTCCCCAACCGTCCTGTGGTGTCGGGTCGTTGTCTTGAAGAGACAGCACCCGGCGTTCTCCTCTCGCCTCCTTTCTCCCGCCTCCTTCCTCCTCCCATCGCCATCATCAAACTCATTGCCGTCATCACCGCCCATTTTGGCACACCCTTCACACGGTTCGTGACCCCATAGGGAGCTCGACCTAAGGCTCCACTAAGAGGGAGCTCCATCTAAGGCTCCAGTGGCGACGTCTCCATGCGTCCCCGCCGTCCATTTTGGCACGCTCCTCACACGGTTCGTGGCCCCATAGGGAGCTCCACCTGCGGCCCCAATGGCGACGTTTCCATGCGTCCCCGCCGCCCATTTTCGGCACATCTTTCACCCCTTTCGTGGCCCCACAGGGAGTTCCACTGGCGACGTCCCCATGCGTCCCCGCTACCGATTTTGGTACGCCCCTCACACGGTTCGTGGCCCCATAAGGAGCTCCACCTACGGCCCCAATAGCGACGTTCCCATGCGTCCATTTTGGCACACTCTGAGACGGTGCGTGGTCCCATAGGGGGCTCCACCCAAGGCTCCAGTGGCGACACTCAAAAGCGTCTCCGCCACCCATTTTGACACACCCGTCGCACTGTTCGTGGCTCCATAGGGAGCTCCACCTGCGGCTCCAGTGGCGACGTTTCCATGCGTCCCCGCCACCCATTTTCGGCACACACACACACTTCACACCCTTCGTGGCCCCATAGGGAGCTCCACCGAAGGCCCCAGTGACATTTCCATGCGTCCCTGCCACGCATTTTCGGCACGCCCCCCACACGGTTCGTGGCCAATAGGGAGCTCTCCACCTAGGGTTCCAGTGGCGACGTGCCCATGCGTCCCCGCCACTCATTTTCGGCACACCCTTGACATGGGCCGTGACGCTCCACTTAGAGGCTCCAGTGGCGACGTCTTCATGCGTCCCCGCCACCCATTTTGGCTCCCCCCTCACACGGTTCGTGGCCCTATAAGGAGCTCCACCTAAGGCTCCAGTGGCGACGTTCCCATGCGTCCCCGCCACCCATTTCGGCACGTTCCTCACACGGTTCGTGGCCCCACAGGGAGCTCCACCTAAAGCTCCATTGGCGACGTTCCTTATGCGTCCCCGCTACCAATTTTGGCACGCCCCTCACACGGTGCGTGGTCCCATAAGGAGCTCCACCTACGGCCCCAAGGGCGACGTTCCCATGCGTCGCCGCCACCCATTTTGGCACACCCCTGACACGGTGCGTGGTCCCATAGGGAGCTCCACCCAAGGCTCCAGTGGCGACGTTCCAATGCGTCTGCGCCACCCATTTTGGCACATTCATCACACGGTTCGTGGCCCCATAGAGCGCTCCACCTACGGCTCCAGTGGCGACGTCTTCATGCGTCCCCGCCACCCATTTTCGGCACACCCCTCACACGGTTCGTAGCCCTACAGGGAGCGCCACCGAAGGCCCCGGTGGCGACATTTCCATGCGTCCCTGCCACCCATTTTCGGCACGCCCCCCACACGGTTCGTGGCCCCATAGGGAGCGCCACCGAAGACGACATCCGCAATTGCGGTACTCACATCTGCGAACGGTTGGGTCCTTCGCCAGGCTAAATTTTGATCGGGGTGGATGTTCTCCCGTGGGCAGCCATTCCCGAACCGGCTGGCAGGAAAGCATCAGGCTGATGATGGACGACGTGCTACAGAAGCACACGAAGCAGATCCTGCAGGCCATCGACAAGCACGCGTCCACGTTCTTGGACAGCACGGGCGACTTGGAGATGTTCGATAATTCGCTGGACGTGCTTCTTCTTAGCTTTCGCGCGCCCTTCTTGGCGATTCGCCAGGGCCCCTCCAGATAGGTTTCATGCCGATCATATTGATTCGACCCAATCCATTCGATTCGTCATCGATGTCGGTTTGCCTGGTCCGATTCTGCTCCAGCATGCCGACGACCCAATGCGGAGCGATGCTTGCATGTGGCGCTGCTTTGCACCCTGGCGCGGCGGGTCCGCTCCGATTCCGCCTTCTGCGCCGACGCGGCCCGATCCACCGTTCGTTCCGCTTCGACAGGGCTCTCCGATTCGATGTCGACCCTGGTCGTCCGTACCCTTCTCCCCCTTCCCCTCCTCCCCCTCCTCCTCCTCCTCCTCCTCCTCCTCCTCCTCCTCCTCTTCCTCCTCTTGCTCCTCCTGCGCTTCCTCTCCTTGCTCCCTCCTCCTCCTCCTCCTCCTCTTCCTCGTCGTCGTCGTCGTCCTCCTCCTCCTCCTTGGTGCCCGAGAGCGCTGGTCAGGGCGGTGCTTGGCGCTGGTTGCGACCGCTTCTGAACTCTACCTCTGCGGTCCAGGTCGCCGCATTGGGTATCGGACTTCCCCCCGGGGTGAAGAGGGGGGGGGGGGAACCAGCCATGCGCCCTCTCGCCAAACTCGGTCGCCACGATGGCCCTCGGAGGGGGCGGGGCAGGCACCCGTCACAGCAATCACAGCTCGACGACAAAGAAGGCTGAGGACGAGGAAGAGGAGGACGAGGAGGAGGAAGAGCGCAGCGCCTCGCGCGTGTCTCCCGAGCGGCATGAGCAGGAGGAGGCATGAGCAGGCGGAGGGATGAGGAGGAAGACCAGGAGGAGGAGGAGGAGGAGGAGGAGGAGGAGAATGAGGAAGAGTTGGAGGAGGAGGAGTAGGAGGGGAATGTTCGGATTGCGACGCTGACGAAACCGATGGCCTGTCAGCAGAGTGCGGCGCTGCAGCTACTATACGATGTGAAAATCTACATACTTCTTCGCGGACGCCAAGCAAGCAAGTCCAGTAAACAGTGCAGGTCAGGGCAAGTGTGCACGGCGGAACAATGGAAACAGCGGGTGTGGTCCAGCTGTGACGCTGGCTAGGTAACCCAGGCCGAAGCAAAGAACGGGAGCCGCGCTCCAGAGAGAGATGTACCTGAGGGGGCGGAGTTATCTTCGGCCTCCGTCACGGCACGCAGACGAGACGGCGGCGGACAAAAGCCAATCTTCGCGCTAAGACAGTAGGGCGAGGGAGGTAGACACTGACCTTTCTTCTTCTGACTTGTGGCCAAACTGGGGAGGAGGGGAGGGAGGGAGGGTCGGTCGGTGGGAGGGGGGGAGCAAGAGAGGGAGGGAGGGAGGGAGGGAGGGAGGGAGGGAGGGAGTATCAGGGGGAGGAGGAGGAGGAGGAGGAGGAGGAGGAGGAGGAGGAGGAGGAGGAGGAGGAGGAGGAGGAGGAGGAGGAGGAGGAGGAGGAGGAGGAGGAGGAGGAGGAGGAGGAGGAGGGAGGAGCATGAGGAGGCCTGCGCCGTCTACCGCCGCTGTTTCCCAGGGAGAGAACAGGAGGAGGCGGAGGCGGATGATGACTGTGGTGTCGATGACCATGAAGGCTGTGGAGATGGAGAGGGAAGTGGACCAGCGACCTCCTGGACTCCGGCAAGATCGAGTAGGACTGCTATGCCGAGACCACCTTCACCCACGCCAGCAGCACGAGGGGCGAGAGCCTGGGCGCGGCAGGAGAGCTCCACCCTCGAGCCCAGAGTGCCAGACGGCCGAGGATACCTGCGAAGAGGGATCATTTGTTGCTTTTTTGGTTTTTGTATGTTCTTGTCAGGAGAAGAAAAAACACAGACACAATTAATCCTCGATTCCCCAGAAAATATGGGAAATATGGGAAGTGTGGGGGGAAGACAGAAACCTAGAAGATATGAGAAACTATGGGGAATCTTTTGGGCAGTGGGGGGGAAGACAGAAACCCAGAAAATATAGGAAAATATGGGGAATCCTTTTATTTGTGTGTATTTATTTGTGTGTCCCAGGGCCCCTTCACAAGTGTCAGAAACCCTGAAGCCCATCTCACCAGGAAAGTGACCGCCCTTCAGCGGCAAGGGAGGCAGCTCACGAGGCAGAGAGGCACGCACAACAACGGTGCCAGTGATGTCGGCTGGGACGTCTGTCCGAGGTTGGGTGTGCTCGTTCACGGTGGAGGCCCTGGCATTAGAAGAAGCAGTGCTTGCAATTCATCGTGCACTGAGCACTCTGCCGTTAACCAGTCGACTTAGGTTTTGTGAAAGACAGAGGCAGGAAAGGCAGAGTCTGGTCGCCTGATTGACGAGGGGTCGGCCTCTTTCAACTCAGCCAGGACGGGGGACTGCTGCTCAGACCAGGGCCGCGATCGTCGAGATCTGCCGCCAAGGGGCCGCTCGGGGACACGAGGCCCTGCTGCGCATGCGGGCCAGGACACCCGTGCCCCCGACGGTGTCCAGGAAGCGACCGGCCCACTGGGCGGGGGCCCAGCGGCTTCTCGGCAGAGCAGGGCCCTCAACTTGCCGAGGGGAGCGCACCGTCGCCAACGGCGTCGTCCCCGGACGCCGACGCCCAGGCTAGTGAGAGGGCCCCGGCATGAATGCTGAGGAAGGCTTCACCTTGCTTAACGAACCAACAACACACACCCATACCCATAGGGGGATCGGAGAGGGCTATGGGTGCGTGTTGTCGGATGGGGGTCCCCGCTCGAACGGGAGCGTTCCCCAGGGTCCGACAACCCGCACCCATACCCATAGCCAGTCCTCCTCCCAACGACCTCCCTATGGGTATGGGTGTGTGTTGTTCGTTCTTCATTGCTCAGTCAGGAGGAGAAGGTGACCAGGGCTCTCCAGGCACACGCGCAGGTTGCGGCCGGCCTTCGGCACGCGGCGGGCAGGCCTCAACCGGGGGCAGCCGCTAACAGAGAAGCCTCGGGATCGACGGGCAGGCCATTCCGGAACGCCCCGAGGACCTGCGGAAGTACTTGGCAAGTCTGGCCAACGGCTTCGGGTGCCTCCTGAGCCGCAGAGGCTCTCGCAACATCAAACGCGTCTGATGAGCCAGGAGGTCGAGGGTATCAGCTGCGAGCTCAACCCCAGCTTCCTTACCTCTCGCGATTTGGCGACGGTGCATGTGCCATTCATTGGCGTGCAGGACTGCTGCAGCATCATGGAGGAAGTGACCTGCAACGGTGGCCTCGCCTACGCGGACAGCTTGACTGCGGGCTTCGACCTTGCCATTGATTCAGGCATCAATAAGTTCCCAAGCATCAAGGTGAGGCTCAATTCGAGGCGCGTGTTCTTGGAAATGCCATTGGCTACATCATCGACGCCTGCTCTGCTCGAGCGTGACGAGCTGACTGCTTGCGATCTCTCCCGACTGGGCGAAGAAGCACTTGTCGACCACTGTGAGGTGACGGCGGTATTCCCCAAGGGTCGTGGATGCGTCGAGAACGCGCGCGCCGTCTCCGTGACCAATGGTACGCGCTGGCATCGGGCGCGCGCTTTCCGAAGCCGTTGTCTCCGCCGCCATCGTCCACATGATGGCGCTCTCGAGCTTCGAAAGTCACGGGAATCTCCTGGCCAGGGGGCCCGAGGTCATCTGGCTCTCCGGACTCGGCGACCTCGCCCACGCCCAGAACGCCGAGGTAATGGTTTTATCAGGGGGCGAGGAGAAAGAGACGGAGGCTGATGACCCGCAGATCGAGGACGCATCGCGCGCTCTTTCTTATGATTCGCGACCAGGCGGGGCATCCTGCGCTGGGGGCTCTCCAGGCCCTGCTATGTCAGTGGGAGGCACCTCAGTGGGTCCTTTGGTTGGCTGGGGACCTGACGGCGCAAACATCGACGGGCCAGGCCCGTGGCCGTGGGGAAAAGGCTGCAAAACCGCTGAAGGTGCTTCATATTCTCGGTTCGACCTGGTACATCCCGCAGCAGGAGGTCGGGACTCCTTACTCGCCGACAGGGGCACTGGCGAGGCCCCCAACATGGGGCCCGCAGCGTCGCCCCGTCGGGCGGCAGCGCGGGGCGCACAGCAGTCGGGCCTCAACGTGAGAGGCCGGTGCGTCACTGTGTCGACCGCTACGGATTCGCCATGGCCCCCAGGGGAGCTTCCGCTCCCGCGACCTGGAAGGCCGAGCTGCTGCCCAGAGAGTCATCGGGAACCCCGAGCCGCCTGCTTTTCCCCAGGGGGCTGGGCGGGCGGAGGCGGCCATCGGCGTCGTCAAAGATGCTGCTGCGCGCGCGGCCTACCTGGGTCCGACTTGCCCCGCGGAGGAGCTCTCCCACTGGGCGGTGGCCCGCGGCGAGATGGCAGCCTGCGCAGGGGCCGGCCCCGACCCGATCGTCCGGGGACGAGCGCCTTGACCCCTGGGCAGCGAGCTGCAGGTGGCGGCGCGCCAGCCAGAGTTCGAGACGCGCAGTGGGCCTCCAGCCGAGGTGAGCATGCGACGAGGCCTGATAGCCCGACAATCCTGGGCCGGGGCTCAGGCCGACTAGAAGTTGAAACTCGCGAGGCTCGCGCGGCTTCGCGTCGAGGGGGCCTGGCGCCAGAGAGGAGGTCAATGCCTCCGCGGGCCCGAAGGGCGGATGCATCGGGCCTGCCGCGGCGCCCCCTCTCCCCATTGTCGCGACCGCGAGGATGGGCAACGCCGAACGTGGTGCTACTGGTCTCACGTGGGCATGTCCTCAAGGCCGCCCCCCAGCGGCTGGGGGCGGCCTCCGAGGCCGAGGCGACGCCTCACGAGATGGACAATGAGACCGCCCGCTTCTTCTCCGGCGAGTCGGGCCGCGATCGGCAAGTTGCGCCCCGTTCAGGACTCACGGGGAGCGGGGCTTCCAGCGGGAGAGGACAATCCCATGTGGGTCGAGGAGTTCGAGCCGACGTCCGAGGAGGAGCGGGCGCCGTCGGGCCCGTCGGATGCGGGAGCCGTTGCCGGGGCCCCGCCCAGCGGGCCCTCGGCGGCGCCGCCGCCGCCCGCGACTGCCGGGGCCGCCGACCTGGCTGCTCCAGCTCTCCCCCTCGACCCCGGAGCCCGCGGGAACCGAGCCGCCCCGAGGCCCGCCCCGAAGGGGCCAGTGCCCGGGGCCGCAGGCGCGGAGGCCCCCGCGGCCGTAGTCGGATCCCGACGTCGGCATCGCTCGAGAGGCGCCCCGTCCGCCGCCAGAGCCTCCGCGCAGGGACCGCGCCCCGCTGGGCGACGCGCCCGCGCGCGTGCGGCGGCGGCTTCAGGGCGGGGGGCCGAAGGCAAGTCGTCGCGGGCGCGAGCGCGCGTCCTGGGGCAGTGTGCCGGCCTGCGCGCACGACCAGGAGCGCGTTGTATCCGTGCCCCTCGACCTCCCCGCCGACGGTCTTCGGGTTGGCGACCCGAAGAGTGGTCGACGCTTGACGAGGGGCGCTTCCGAGAGGCCTGGGACTGCGAGGCGGCCCGTTGGCTGGCCGACGAGGTGACCGCGCGAGCTCAGCAGGAAACGTGGCCTCTGCGCGTGAAGATGTGCTGGTGCCTCGCGGTCAGGAGCGACGGCGCGGCCAGAGTGAGGATCGGGCTGCTGGGAGTCCAAGGCCACCGATTGGGAGCTGCAGCCGCGGCCAGCCCTGTCACCTCGGTCAGGGAGCGCAACTTGGCGCTGCAGGTCCGCGCCAACCGCTAGCGCAGGATCTACGAGGGAGACGTGGGGGAGGCCTTCCTGCAGTCTCAGGCGTCTCCCACATGGGGTCCTGGTCGAGCCCATGAAGAAGTTGCGGGGGGCTATGAACTTGAAGGAGGGGCCCGCGGTTTTTTGCAGCGCCCCCGAGGGAAGGTTCGGCGAGACCTCCAACGTGACCTCCACTGGGTGGGTGCCGATGGAGCTCGAGCGTTGCTTTTGGGTGATGGGCGATGGCCTCGAGCTCGCAGATGTTGCCTTCGCTCGCGTGGGCGACGCCGTCATGGGCGCGGGCCCAGGCCTCGCGCTCACCGCGGGGAAGCGGAAAACGGCAGTCAAAGGCCATTGGAACTGGGGCTGGTGGGAGGTTGGCAGGTTGGCAAAATCATCCAGACACGGCTCGAGATCTTGCAGCTCCCCGACGGAGCCGTCCAGCAGCCCTTCCAGAAGGCCGCCAAGAAGCTGACGCTGGTCGAAGGAATGCAGGAGGAGGAGGAGGAGGAGGAGGAGGAGGAGGAGGAGGAGGAGGAGGAGGAGGAGGAGGCGGAGGAGGCGGAGGAGGAGGAGGAGGAGGAGGAGGAGGAGGAGGAGGAGGAGGAAGCGAGGGATGAGCGGCCGCCTGCTGGAGAGACGGCGCGCCGCGCCGTCGTTGGGGGCTCGCGGTGCCTCGCGAGCCAAAGGCCGCGTCGCAGGGGGCGCGAGTATTGCGGCGTTATCCCTGAAGGAGGCGACCTTCGGCGCCGTGCAGCGTATCAATATGATTTTCAGGGCCGCCCGCGAGGTGGCCAACATCGAGGTGACAAGCCGTCCGATCAGCAACTGCGTCTTCGTGGCCTTCCGCGACGCAGCCTGGGCGGTGCGCCGGGGCGGGGAGAGGAAAGGGGGAGTCGCTTTCTCCATGGCCGAGAGTCGGATGGTAGACGGACCTGGGTTTCGCGTCTCGCCGCTGCTCCCCGTCTCCAAGAAGTGGCGGAGTCAGGCCTGGGATGCGAAATGCATGGCGGCAGCGTGGCAGACGAAGACGCAACCTACTTCTGCCTGGCCTACCTCGAGGTTTTGCGGGGCACGTCTACCTACGCTCTGTTCCCCCCAAGCTGCAGACGACGACGGCCGCGCGGTGGTCGCCGACTGCAAGGGCCGATGCGACCGATGCGACGCGCTGGTGACGGACGTGGGCGCTGGACTGGGGGTTGATGGCCGCAGGGGCGGTGTCGAAGCTTCGGGCCTTCTCCAGGGTATGGCCTCTGGCAAAGCCACCGTGAGGCGGTTGCGTTCCGCAGCCATGTCCGTCGATGGCTTGACCAAGAGACGTGCGGAAATTCGTAGGGTGCTGATCGACTGCCTGACTCGTGGTTACTCCGGGGATGGACAGAACTCCACCCTGACACGTCGATCAGTGAATTGTCCGTTTTCGGTTCTCGAGAGGGCGCCGCGGCCGTCATTTTCCAGGCTTGCGCCCGCCAGGTTTGGGCCCGAGGTCGTTTTCACAAAACCACGTTTTGCTAAAGGGGGATCTGTCCACCCCCGATTACCGGAGGCTGGTGCGCGACGACTTGCCAGGAAACTGCTCGCCGCTGGACGCTGGGACGTCCTGGGCGACGGCGCCGTTCGAGACTGCGTGCCCGTGACCTTTTCTGAGGACGAGGCCGATGACTACGAGTGCTACGAGATGGCCGTCAACTATGACGAGTACTGCCCAAATTTAGAGATAGAGAAGTCCTGCTCTCCCCGTCTAAACCACTGCTTACATACTGCGTAGTTCACTTTCGCATCCTCTCAGCGCCTGTGTGAGCCCGCAGCTATCTCAGGTGGAAGTTACTGCAAGGTTGAACAAACGCATCCCTCATCGAAGCAATGTTGAGTTTGGACCCCCATGAGCAGGGCTCCGCCAGCTGGTCGCCATTAGCTGCCCGCAACCGATCGACCGCGCCTGACCTGGATCTCCTCCCCGCCCTCTCCCTCCGCAGCGGGGCTTGCTGCATCCAGGGGTGGTTCTCCCCGAGGGAGCAGGTCTCAGACTCTTTCGGCCCCGAAGCGGCCGACGTCGTCGGGGCCAAGGCCCGAGACGGGCTTTCAACGCGTGCGTCGGCTCCCCCTGAAGAGGAGTCGGATTCGGACGCGTCCGATTTCGTTTGATTACACGCTGATCGTTGAGAGCAGGTGCCCTTGGAATCCCAGAATCCAACCTATTTTGGGCGCCCTCGGTCGTCAAGAACCGATCTGTGATTGCTGTGTTTGGTAATGCTCTGGGAGGGGCTGAAACCCATCCACTTTACCCGCTTCATGTGTTTTGCCCATTTCTTCCGACCGGCGTGTGCGGATCACGAGGCTTCGGGCCTGTGCCCAGCAGCTCCCCCCGTTCCGAGGCGTCCGTGGCCTTCGTGGACCCGGCGGACGGCCCCCGCCCTTGCAGCCGGTTGGCGCCGCCCCTCCTGCAGGACCACCGTTGGCCGCGCGCCGCTTGGCCTTGGGGCCGCCCAAGCGGGCCAGGGGGGCAGGGGGGCAGAGGGGAGGAAGCGAGGAGGAGCTCGAGGAGGGAGGAGGATGGGGGAGGATGAAGAGGAGGAGGATGATGATGAGGAGGAGGAGGACCAGCTTAAACCCAAGAGGCATCAACGATGTTGCAATACACCCTCTCTCCATGCTCCCTCTTCATCGGCCCCTACAACGGTTCATTTCCATTGAAGGAACTGCTTCAACAGTTGGAAGATCTTGCAATGCCAAAACATTTGTCTCGGGATCTCAACGCCACGTATCAACCTGACTGCTGCGTCCTGACGATCCAGAATCGTGCCAGAACGCCATTTTTGGGATTTCAACACAGCGAATCAACATAACTGTTGCGCCCGCGTAATCCATAATCCTTCCAAAACACCTTTTCTTGTACCTTGATCATGGGAATCCGTCAAACACTTGCAACTTGTTGGGGCGAGAATTCGCGGCGCCTGGGCGAGAGCCGCATTTTGAAAATGAGCCGCCTTCAATCCGTGAAGTTCTTCGAACGTTTTGAAACGAGTGTGCGCGGCGTTCAGGCGAGAACCACATTTTGAAACGGAGCCGCCTTCAATCCGTGACACTCTTGCAATGTTTGAAAACGAATGTGCGCGGCGCTGAGGCGAGAGCCACATTTTGCAAACCACCCGCCCTCAATCCGGAAGCTCTTGCACATGTTTAAGACGAATGTGCGCGGCGCTAAAGCGAGAGCCACATTTTGAAACCACCCGCCCTCAATCCGTGAAGCGCTTACAAATTGTTAAAACGAATGTGTGCGGTGCAAAGGCGAGAGCCACATTTTGAAAGCGACCCGCCCTCCATCTGTGAAGCTGTTGTCACTTTTGATGGTCAGAGTCATAAGTGGTGAGGAAGTCTCAGGCGAAGCGCCCAGCCCGCCCTAAACTTGCGTCGGGGTGCGACAGGGAGGATATATTTATAAGGAAAAGGAATGGAGGATGAGGAGGAGGAGGAGGACGGGGAGGACCAGTGTAAACCCAAGAGGCACCAGCGATGATGGGATCAACCCTTTCTCCAAGCTCCCTCTTCATTGGCCCCTGCAACGGTTCATTTTTGCTGAGCGAATTAATTGCCTCGTTGGAAGACAACTGGTTGAAGACCCTGAAGCATGCAATTTTTCTCGGGATTCCAACGCCACGGATCAACCTGACTGTTGCGTCTTGACGATCCTGGACCGTGCCAGAACGCCGTTCCTGGGACTTGAGTACCGCGAACCAACATAAGTTGTGTACGCCCCCATGAGCCTGAACCCTTCCCAAAATAAATTTCTGGTACGTTGATGATAGGAAATCCGTGAAACTCTTGCAAATTTTCAAGACGAGTGTGCGCGGCGCTACGGCGAGAGCCACATTTTGAAAACGACTCGTCTTCAATCCGTGAGCCACTTGCAACTTTTAAGGAAGAGTGTGCGCGGCGTTAAGGCGAGAGAGAGCCACATTTTGAAAAGGATTCGCCCTCAATCCGTGCAGCTCTTGCAAATTTTTAAGGCGAGTGTGCGCGGCGCCAAGGCGAGAGCCACATTTTGAAAAGGAACCGCCCTCAATCCGTGAAGCTCTTGCATTTTTTAGGACGAGTGTGCGCGGCGCTAAGGCGAGACGCACATTTTTAAGAGGAGCCTTTCTCAATCCGTGAAGCTCCTGCACATTTTCAAGAGGAGTGTGCGCAGCGCTAGGGCGAGAGCCGCATTTTGAAAACGACTCGCCCTCAACCCGTGTAACTCATGCAAATTCTTAAAACGAGTGTGCGCGGCGCTAACGCGAGAGCCACAGTTTGAAAACCATCCTCCATCTGTGAAGCTGTTGTTACTTTTAAGCTTCAGGATCATACGTGGTGAGGGGTCTTAGGCGAAACGCCCTGGTGTGACAGGGAGAAGTTAATTAGCAGGAGGAGGAACTGAGGAGGAGGAGGAGGAGGAGGAGGTGGGAGGATGAGGATGATCAGGGGGAGAGGAGGGAGGCAGGGAGGAGGAGGAGGAGGAGGACGAGGGAGAGGGAGAGGAGGCGGATGATGAGGATGTTGCTGGTGATGATGGTGATGATGCTGATGCTGATGCTGATGATGATGCTGATGATGATGCTGATGCGGATGATGATAATGAGGATACTGATGCTGCTGATGATGCTGATGATGCTGATGACGATTATGATGATGATGGTGATGCCCGAGGTGGTGGTGGTTATACTGGTGACGACGACGACGACAAGGATGCTGATTATGATGATGCTGATGTTGAGGATGAGGATGCTGATGCTGATGTTGAGGATGAGAATGATAGTGGCGATGATGCTGATGATAACCAGGATGATGATTGTGATGACGATAGTGATGAGGATGATTATTCGGATGCTGCTGATGATGTTGATCATGCTGATGCTGGTGCTGATGCTGATGCTGATTCGGTTCGTAATGGTGGATGGTGGTGGTGGTGGTGATGATGATATCAGCCAGCGTTGACTCCAAATAGCTTAAACGACCCAAATCATGGAATCAGGGGAAGCAAGCATGCTTGGAATCCGCATCTCAGCAAGCAAGCAAGCGTGCAAGCAAGCGCGCAAGCAAGCACGCAAGCAAGCACGCAAACAAGCAAGCAAGCGTGCACGCGCACAGGTAAGCAAGCAAGCACGCACGCACGCAAGCATGCAAGCAAGCAAGCCAGCAGGCATATGCATAGGCGTAGGCATAGGAGTTAGGGCGGAGGCATAGGCATAGGCATAGGCATAGGCATAGGCATAGGCATAGGCATAGGCATAGGCATAGGCATAGGCATAGGCATAGGCATAGGCATAGGCAAGCCATAGCCATAGGAAGTAGGGGGTGGGGGGTGGGCATAGGAATTAGGGGGGGGGGGAGCAACGGACCAATTAGTAGGGTTTGGGCTAGGACGTCTACACAGCAATATTATTTGACGATGCTGATGCTGTTGATGCTGATTTTGTTGTTGATGATGATGGCGACGCTGATGACGATGATACTGATTCGATGATGATGATGATGGTGCTGATGTTGATGCTGCTGCTACTGCCAATGATGATGATGAGGATGATGATGCTGATACTGATGATGATGACGATGCTGATGATGCTGACGATACTTTTGCTGATGATGGTGGTGATGAATGGTTATGAATGGTGATGAATGGTGATGATGGTGCTGATGCTGATGCTGATGCTTATGCTGTTGATGATGCTGATGATGGTGGTGGTGATGGTGATGCTGATGATGCCGATGCTGATGATTATGCTGCTGATGATGATGCTGCTGATGATGCTGTTGTTGCTGATGCGGATGCGGATGCTGATGGTGCTGAGTATGATGATGCTGTTGATGATGATGCTGATGATGATGACGATGATGATGATGATGATGATGATGATGATGATGATGATGATGATGATGCTGATGCTGATGCTGATGCTGATGGTGATGATGATGATGATGATGATGATGGTGATGATGATGATGGCAATGATGACATTGATGGTGATTATGCTGAACTATGATGATGGTGATTCTGATTATAAGGGCGATGTTCGTTTGGGCCGTCTTGTGGCTGGCTTGGCCTCCTGTGGGGCAGTCTTGTTTGTTCCTTGGTGTCTCTTGGGCCGTCTGTGGGCCCTCTTACGCCAGCTTGGGGCTCTTTTGGTCCGTCTTGGGGCCCCATGGCCGTATGGTGGAAGTCTTGGGTCCATCATGTGGCCATCTTGGCGCCGTCTTGGGCCGTCGAAGGGCCTTCCAAGGCCGTCTTGGGTCCCACGGGGGGCTCTCTTGGTCCGTCTTAGGGCCGTCTTGGGTACCTCTTGGGCCACCGTCGAGCCCTTCTGGGCCGTCTGGAGCTAACGGCAGCCCGAACAAGCAGATACTGCGAACATCATTCAACCACTTTGTGGAAACCAAGGGCGGTGGCTTCTTCGTCCCTGTTGGAGGTCGTCTTGTGGCCACTTTGGGCCCTCTTGGAGGCGTCTTGAGCTGTCTTGAATCAATAGTCGGCCGCCTTGGGGCAAACTTGGATTGTCGTTGAGGCATACTGGGCCATCTTGGTGTCCGTGGTTGTCTGCGAGGGCCGTCTTGGATGCTCGGGACGCGTATCCATTGTTCCCAACCATCCTATGGTGTTGGGTCCTCGTTTTGAAGAGACGGTGCCCCGCGTTCCTCCTCCCGCTGCCCCCTCCCCCCTCCTCCCATTATCATCACCATCCTCATCATGCTCATCATCATGAGTATCGTCATCATCATCATCCACATCGTGGTTGTCGGTCATCATCATCATCATCACCACCACCACCACCATCATCATCATCATCATCATCATCATCATCATCATCATCATCATCATCATCATCATCATCATCATCATCATCATCATCATCGGCACACCCCTCACACGTTTCGTGGCCCCATAGGGAGCTCCACCGAAGGCCCAACTGGCTGCGTCTGCATGCCGCCGCCACCCAATTTTGGCACACCCCTCACACGTTTCGTGGCCCCATAGGGAGCTCCACCGAAGGCCCAAATGGCTGCGTCCGCATGCCGCCGCCACCCAATTTTGGCACACCCCTCACACGTTTCGTGGCCCCATAGGGAGCTCCACCGAAGGCCCAAATGGCTGCGTCCGCATGCCGCCGCCACCCAATTTTGGCACACCCCTCACACGTTTCGTGGCCCCATAGGGAGCTCCATCTAAGGCCCAAATGGCTGCGTCCGCATGCCGCCGCCACCCCATATTTGGCACACCCCTTACACGCTTCGTGGCCCCATGGGGAGCTCCACCGAAGGCCCAAATGGCTGCGTCCGCATGCCGCCGCCGCCCAATTTTGGCACACCCCTCACACGTTTCGTGGCCCCATAGGGAGCTCCATCTAAGGCCCAAATGGCTGCGTCCGCATGCCGCCGCCACCCCATATTTGGCACACCCCTTACACGTTTCGTGGCCC